CCTCGCCACAGCCTTGCCCAAGACCAGCGCTTTTCAAAATTAGAGTATCCCATAAGGGCAAGTTTGGACATCCTCAGAAAATCCTTTTTGTGGATTCAAATGCATTTATCCAAAAGGAACATGTAGTGTCTGACATTCTATTCACATATATATCGATGTGGTGTCTAGGTTGCTTGAGATCTTAAGCAAGTGCATTCCCTTCTCTGGGACTCAGTTCCCTTCTCTGTATGATGAGTGGATGAGACGGCTCCAGAGTCCCTTTCTGCCCCATCCTACCAGGGGAGCTCTGAAAGTGCTGCATGATAGAGAAGGGGACTGAATGTGGCCTCTGCCAGCCTCGCTTTGAATACCAGCTTTGTGAAACACTATGTGATCTCCTGCAGCTCCCTCGAGCTCTCTGTGCCTCAGTTTCCCCTGCTATGTAATGAGGTAACAATAATGTCCACACCACACATCACAGGCATGTGGGGAGGAATCAGTGAGATTCGCCTAAGCCACCTCTTGATACAGTGCCTGGCTCAGAGCACAGTGCTCAGCAAATCAACATTTATTATGACAATAAGACTTGGTCTTTCAAATTCTTGATCTCGTTGACCACACTGATTTTGTCCCTGTTTTATCAACGAAGATACAGGCTCAGAGAAATAGTGGGACTTATCTCAGGTCACATGCCCAGCTCAGGGGCACAGCCAGGCTTATCCATGCTCTGACTCCCACTCCAGAGCTCTGCGCCTCTGGAAGGCAGAACCCCAAACAGTGGCCCAGCCCTGCAGTGTTCCAGGGACAGAGCGAGATCCTGTGGCTGAGAGTTGAGCCTATGGTTCTTTCATTCCCATTCCCCATATTTGACCTTCAGGCTCTGCACAGAGGCGCCTCTTTCACAGGCCAAGCATGGGCAGCTAAGGGGAGTGGGCAGCAGCACACAGCACGTCAGGTGGTCAGAAAACAATGCCAGGTGCTGCTGAGCTGGCAGAGCCAGAGTGGCCAATAGGCTTTTGTCAAGATTTCTTAAAAAGTGAAACTCAGAGGAACATTTTCCTCCCCAAAAGAAAAGGTGTGTGGCCCACCTGGTAGGTCCAGGCATGGGCCCAACAGCAGAGGTGAATGGAGGACCTTTCCCCCCATGGTGCCTCTGGGTAAGCCTCCACCGGTGGGTGGCAGAGCTGGCCTGGCCGCAGGAGACTCAAGGCTGCCTTAAGTCTCTGCTCCAAAACACCACGGAGTCTGTGCTCCACTGGCTCAGGGAATGCTGGGGCCCTTCCACCTCCCCGGGCTTTACCCTGGGGATGGTGACACAGGCCTTCTCTGCTCCCAGGCCCTCCAGACCTCCTTGGATGAGGAGCAGAGAAGGATCTGGACAGGCATGTGGCCCATCTTCAAGGCCCACCCAGCAAAGGCCCAAACCCCTCACCATCTCTCGGTCTTCCCCCAGCTCAGGAAATCACCCTGCACCTTCCAAATCTTGGGGTTTTCACCTGGTTCTTTCCATCCTCCACCACCTGCCACCACCTCCACCCCGCACCGCTACACACACATCTGGGCTTCAGTTTTGATACTCAAAAGGCAAGAACTGACTACTGACTTCCACTGGGTCATCCCTACCCTGCAGCAGTGAATTTTCTGAGTCCAACTGCCCTATAAAGAAAGAGGAAATGCCAGAGAAGAAAGAAAGATTAATATTTCAAAAAAGAAAACCATCTGGCCATATAATTTTACATTTATTCTTATGATCAATTAATCTCTGTCCTCCCTTAGACCATAAATTCCATGAGGGCAGGATCAGCATCTGGTTGGCTCACTGTTCTATCTCCAGTGTCTAAGACAGGGGACCTAACACTCAAGGAAGACTGAAGACGAAAGAATGAAGAGCCAGCCATGCTCCTTTCTTAGGCATCCTCAGCGAACTCAGAAAGGATCCCTAGAAGCACAGAACGAAGAGGTTGAACCAGACCTGTGGCTGCTGAGCTGGGGTCTGTGCAGGCAGTTTTGCGAATCCTGCTTTCAAGATTTTAAAAAATCAAACAAAGTCAATACTCCTTGCCTCCCTGGGACAACTTATACAAGATCACCAAGATGGTAGCCTCATTGATTTTTCCCAAGTGTCCAGGGACTCTGGTTAGCTGCTGATGACATCACAGAGCCCAACCCAATTCCAGCTTATGTGCCCAGGACTGCCAGTGTCTACATGGCATTAAATGAGCATGTGATGGCCATTGGCTACCCTGCACATGTGGGTTATGGCAGAAAAAATGTGGCAAGGAACACAATGCAGTGTCCCCCAAGGATCCAAATGAGCTTTGATGGGGAGGAGTTTTGGGACCCCAACTTAACAGATGCTTGGAGTTCCTCCCAGAACCAAGCACCTCAGGTGGGCACTTTCTTTCCCAGGCCACTTTTTTCCTCATCAAAAATACCCAGAACCCAGGTGCAGAGAGCACACACCAGCACTTTGAGAGGCCCACATGGGAAGATGGCCTGAGCCCAGGAGTTCGAGACCAGCCTGGTGAAATAGTGAGACCCCATCTCTACAAAAATATTTTTTTAATTAGCTTGGTGGCATGCATCTGTAGTCCCAGCTACTTAGGAGGCTGAGATGAGAAGGTGGCTTGAGCCCAGGAGTTCCAGGCTGCCATGAGCTAGGATCACCGCTCTCCACTCCAGCCTGGATGATAGAGCGAGACACTCTCTTAACAAGATAATAATAATAAACCCGTGAGCCCAGGAGGAGGGAGAGAAGGGAAGTAGAAGAAGCAGAGTCATCGTTTGGATCCTGGGGAAGATTAGGAGCAGTTCTGAAGAGACACAAAGCCTAGATTTCCATCAGGGACTGTACTGGGGAAGACACTGGGCCCTTCCATAGGACTCACTTTCCCTGGTACTTCCCACTTCCCCTGAGTGGAAAAGCAGGCCCAGGGCTGGCTCCTAGGGCCCACAGCCCAGAGCCTGCTGCATGGCATTTTAAATTGTCTCTCTCAAAGTCCCTGCTAATAACAATACTAACAATAGCCCACACTTAATGAACTGCTTACTCTTCTGGCTATGAGTCGTGCAGTACCTTTTACAGACATTTGTTCATTTCTTTTCAACCCCCACCACGAGGCCTTGAGAAAAGTATAAGATTATGCCCATTTTACAGATGAGGAAGCTGAGGCCCAGAGAGTTACAATAGATCATTGAAGTAATGGCCCCTAATTTGTTCAGGCACTACCCTGGGCAGTGCCCTTCCACCCTGGCTCAGGACTTGACCATGGGACTTACTTTGGCCAATAAGAAAGAAGCAAGCATACTCCAGGTGCAGTGGTTCATGCCTATAATCCCAGCATTTTGGGCGGCCAAGGCAGATGGATCGCTTGAGCTCAGGAGTTTGAGATCAGCCTGGGAAATAGCAAAACCCCTTCTCTGCCAAAAATACAAAATTTAGCCAGGCATGGTAGTGCATGCCTGTGGTCCCAGCTACCCAGGAGGCTGAGGTGGAAGAATGACTGGAGCACAAGAAGTCAAGGCTGCAGTGAGCCGTGATCATGCCACTATACTCCAGCCTGGGTGACAGAGAGAGACCCTGCCTCAAAAAATAAAACTAAAAAAGAAAGAAGCAAGCATAATGCCTGCAGAGGCTCAAGAAGGGCTTGAGCACTGGGGCTTCTCTCTCACTGCCTCTGAAGCCCTTTTACCGCTCTGTGATCAAGCCCAGGTTCATGGAGAGAGGCCCCATAGTTCGTCATCCCAGATGAAGCCAAATTAATCAGTCATTTCCAGGGATCCACCAGCTAACGGCAGACACATGAGTGAGCCCAGCCAAGATCATTCAAGCCTTGCCCAAACCAGGACAGCTCAGCCGATCCCAATGGAAATTGCTCATTCCCAAATCACAAGCTGCATGAATGTTTGTTGCATGAAGCCAATGAGTTATGAGGTGTTTGCTGCACAGCAAAAGCACCTGACAGAGGTGAAGTCATTTGTCCAAGGTCACACAGCAGGGCAGGAATTCAAACCCAACCTTTCTGTGCAGCTAAGAATGGGAGCTCTTAGCACTAAAGCTTTAGTGTTTACAGAGTCCATTTATTTTCACTGCAGGTCCCTAGTGAGTCTGGGAGTCAATCATCTCTGCACAGAAACTCAGAGGTGTCAAGGGACCTACCTTAGGTCACACAGCTGGTCAGAGCTGGTAGAGGGCATCCAGCCCAGTTCCTTTAATTCCACCTTCCTGCTGTTCCCGCCACTGCATGAAGGCTGGAACAGCCAGAGCCCAGGACGCTGGTTTACAAATCAGCTTCTTCTCCAACCTCCGAGGTCCCCCGCAATCCTCCTTATGTCTCATGAAGGGCCCAAGCTGCTCCCTCCCGCCATGAGTTTCTCAGACAGAACAGGTGGCACCCTCACCAGGGAGTCTGAACAGTGGACCTGCCCCTGCCCACCCCTCACCCTCCCTTCTCTGCATAATAGGAACTGTTGGTTGTCCTGGATACAGCAGATAATGGGAAAGATGGCAGCTGAGGTCACAGCATGAACCAGGACGGCTATGAGCAGGGAGAAATGGCATCCCAGACACACTTGTGCCCTTTTGCCCAGCCTGGAGTGAGAGACGAGGGCATGGGGGGAGCTAGTCATGACCACACTAGCATAGGAGACCTGAGGTCCCATGAGATCCCCAGGAAGGAGAGGATGGGCTGGGAGTAGCGGAGGCCAGTCAACCGCCAAGGCCTCCCATGTTTAATTGCAAGGCAGTGGAGAGAGAATGCCACATAGCCATGTGGAGTCCCATGAGGTGGAAATAGCCATTTGAGGGTCCAGTTGAGGCCCTGGCCTGATTGAGTAGCTATCAAGTAAGGACCTAGGAACGAGGTCTACTTCCCAGAGGAGGCACTTCAAGGGATAGAGTCCTTCTACCTCCACCAAAACCATAACATAAACGAGGAAGAGGCAGCTGTGGCCCAAGGCAAAAAAAAAAAATGCCTTAAAGCCATTCTGACCAGGATTTGACACCCACATCCCCTCCCTACCATGCTGGACAGGTTCCTTCACAGCTCCAATCCTCAGCTTTTCATCTGGCAAATGGGGGCGGTCATCATAGATCTCATGGGTTGCTGCAAGGCCTAAGTGAGAAAATACAGTGAGAGCTTCTTGTAAACTGCAAACGCTGTATACATGGAGGGGATGCAGGGACGCCATGACCCCATTGTCCATCTGGCTCCTCCAGACCCAGTGGTCCTCCAGCCCTGGACGAAACCCCATAAACTCCATTTCTTAGAGCTCAAAGGGCCCATTAGAAACCATCTGGTCCAAATGGTCTGATTTTACAGATAAGAAAATCAAAGCCTTTGCCTTGCCCAGAGTCTAACAGCCAGCGAATGCGATGCTGGCCCTAGAAGCCAGTCTCCCCACTCAGGTTCTTTCTACTCCTTCATGCTATCAAAGCTCACCCCGACCCCCTGCACCCCATCTCTCTCCACTCTGACCTGACCCTGGGTGGAGCTGAATCAGGGAAACGCCTCTCAGCCCCCTCATTAGCTAACACTTCCCCTGTTTTGAGGGAAGCGATGCTGCTGAACCACGTTAGGAGGCTGGGCCTCCCCCAGGAGGCTCCTAGACAGTATCTGTGCTCCAGAGAATTTAAAGTCCTAGGTGTAGCCTTGTGAGAGACAGCAGAGATTTTAAAGCCTTTGGGGGTCCCGCCAATCATATCAGCAGCTGCCCTTGTCACCATTGGAGTCACCAATGGCTTCACCACAGCCCTGAAGAGAGCTCCCTCACCCCGTCCCAGCCGTAGGAGAAAGATTGAAATGTTTTACAACCTAGACATAATCCAAGTTCACAATGGTTACCAGAGCTGACTCACCTCTTTTAACTCAGCGTGCTGGAAAGTGTGTTCCCCCTTATGCCTTGCAGGGTGTTGCATGTATTCTAACTTCAGTCACAGTGCCCTGTCCTTCCAAGGCCCACTCGGCCATCTGCTCGCCAGTGGAGGAGAGTCAAGGGCTCAGTCCAGCACAGAGCCCCTCTTTGGAACTGTCCTCGGATATCACCCGCCCTGAGGTATCTGCCACCCTGTCTCCAAACTCTCTCCAAATTAAGAACCAAACTCCTCACTCACATCATCTTTCCCAGGGTCTTCCAGCTCCAGCCAGCCCACCAGATGCCCAGCTCAGCACCCATGCTCCAAGCTGCCAATGGGCAGGGCAGCCAGCCAGGCCCAGTAGAGACAGGCCAAGCCCAGACTCAGTCCCAGCCTCATCCCCCAGGCCAGCAGGCGAGAGCAGTTGAAATAATGATGAGGCACTGCAGCCCCATTTCTGAGCCCCACCTTGAGCCTCAGTTTCCTCCTCTGTAAAGCAGGGATGAGTGTACCTTCCTCCTGGAGCTGCTTCAGGATGAAACGAGACAGCACGCATGGACACCTTGCCTGAGGAGGCTTCCAAAAGGATCTGATCCTCACGTCTTCCCAGGGGCAGGCTCGGTAAGCCTCCTCCCTTTTCCCTTGGCCCTGAAGATCGTCTTGATCTTGACCTCTCCCTGTACCTCTGACCCTGACTTTGTCACATCGTTACATGTTGGTGCCTGCCTGGGGTGTTTTCTTTCATTGTAATTTTATTTATTCTTTTGAATAGGAAACACTTGGTACAAAGCTCAAAAGACAGAAAGATGTGTACAGGGAAGAGTATGTCCCCCTCTCCCAGTCATTGACTTCCCCTCCCCAGAGGCAACCATTGCTCCCAGACCCTAGCAATCTAGCAATCTAAGGATTCTCTACACTTTTATAGGAAAACATGCATACGTATTTACGTAGGCTTTTCTATCTTGCACATTGTTCTGCACCTTGCTCTTTGTCTACCCAAGAGGCTGTCTCAGCAGTCCTCCCCTAGGACACGGGGAGCTTCTTTCTTTTAGTGGCTGTATAATATTCCATTGCCTAGGTACACCATCATTTCTTTTCTTTTCTTTAATTTTTTTTTTTTTTTTGAGATGGTGTCTCACTCTGTTGCCCAGGCTGGAGTACAGTGGCATGATTTTGGCTCACCGCAACCTCCACTTCCTGGGTTCAAGCAAGTCTCCTGCCTCAGCCTCCTGAGTAGCTGGGATTACAAGCAGACACCACCACGCCCAGCTAATTTTTGTATTTTTAGTAGAGATGGGGTTTCACCGTGTTGGCCAGGCTGGTCTCAAACTCCTGACCTCAGATGATCTGCCCACCTCAGCCTCCCAAAATGTTGGTATTATAGGCATGAGCCACCACACCTAGCCACACCATCATTTCTTTGCCAATTATGCCTGGGCTCTTCTGTTGTTTCCCTATCAAACTATTACAAACTATCTGTAGGATAAACTCCAAGAAGCTGAATCTCTAGGTCAAATAATACATTAATTTATAATTTTGATAGATAATGTTAACCTGGCCTCCACAGAGGTAGTAATAGCATTATTTGAGATTGCTATTTTCCACACCAATTTAAAGCCAGTGTATGTTTGAAACTTGCTCAGTCTGATGGATAAAAATGAAATGATTGGCTACTCTTCGTTTTCATTTCTTTCATTATGGAAGAGAATGAGCAACTTTAGTTGTACATGCTTAAGAGGCATTTGTAGTTCCTTTCCTACAAACTGTCCATTTTCTGACCTTTCTTCTAGGTTGTTTTTCTTTTTCTTATTGATTTGGAAGAGCTCTTTACATATGAAGGAATCTAGCTTTTGTCTGTGATATGAGCTTTAAGTCTTTTTCTCAGTACTTCATTTATCTTTTGATTCTGTTTATGGTGTTTATTTACATGCAGATTTTTCAAATGTCATCATGTTTACTGATGTAAATTTTCTGGAGTGTCTGGGATGTGTGTCATACTTAGAAACCCTCTGAGTTTTAAACCTTGACCCACACTGAGTTTCCATGCTGGTGTCTGGCTTGACCCTCCCACTCTGGTTGACCTACCCACTGCCAATGTCGGCACCTGCTACCTCTATCCAGTTTCTTCTGGACAGCTCCACTTGGCCTTGGCCAGACATCTCACTCCCCTTCTCACTGCTGTTTCCCCTATCCCCTGCCCCTGCAGCTTGATCTTTGGTGTCTTGCCACTTCTCCAGCCCCCCAGCTTCTGTGCATGTACACCGTATTCCTAGCCTGCCCAGAGCCCTCTGGCCCACTCAGGACCCTGCCCCTCCAGATGAGCAATGCTGTCACCACTCCTTATTCATCTCCTGTCTTTCCAGCTGCGGATCGCACTGCTCTAGCACCCAGCCTCCCAATCCACACACTTCAAACCCTGACCTTGAAGCTCTGATTCCTAGCCCTAGTTGAAAGGGGAGGGGGCACAGTGGGTAAATAGCAGGAGGAGGAGGCCAAAGAGGAGGCAGAAGGGAGTCCTTCCAAGTCCTCTGCTAGCAAATTCCAACGTGGCTTCCTCCTTCACAGCAACTTAGCCAAATTTCTATCTTTATTAATCAAATAACAAATTTAATTAATTACTCTAAATTGCGTTAATTGAATCTAGAACGAGAGCATGGACAAAATCCCAAGAAGTAATGAACCCAGGCACTTCCAGCATCTGGAGTTGAAATGATCTTTAATTTCAATTTGGGAGCAAAAATAATGTGACTGCTGTCAAACCCTCCCCCACAGCCTGCTCCCTGACAGCTTCGTTACTGCCGGCAGCACTGACAAGGCCTCTGCACCCTGCTCTTTCACCCTTCTTAGCAGCAATGTTCTTCCTGCCTCAACTTATCGCAACTGAGAAATGGGTACAGACCCCACCTGCAAGTGTCCTGTAAGTACTGGAGTGCAGGCGGTGCTTGGAGATTGTCCAGTAACTGACCAGGGAGCCCCAACATTAACCAGACAGCAACAAAGTTCTCAGGAGCGAAGCACAGGCTTGCCTCTGTGCCTTTCCCCAGGCTGTGCTCACTTCCAGGAATGCCTTTCTTTGCCCTTTTCCAGCTGTTGCATCCTTGCCTTCGGTTCACATGGCCACTTCAAATGACCCTTTCAAAGGAAAGCTGCTCCCCATCCCTGCCCCAGAAGGAGTTAGAGAGACGGAAGTTTCTTCCCTGGTTGGCCATTGCCCTCCAAGTGGTACCTCAGGGCCAACAGGAGGGAAAATGGAACACAATCAACTTTTTTCCGGCAGGGATCGAGGTGGGAAGAATATATTCTCTGGATATGAAAGATGAGCAGACGGAGGTTCAGAGAAGTGAAGTGATTCACCCGAGATTACACAGCTGGCTAGTGGTCAAGCCACACCTGACTCTTGGCCTGGCACAGCTGCCTTTCTGGCCCTGGCTGGGTGTCAGAAGAAAAGCCCAAAGTCCCCCCTAAAGCCCTATCTTCCTGTCTTCTCTCCACCCTGAGCCACCAGATCCCATCAGCCCCCTCTCTTCCGCTCCCTCATACCCTCTCCCTCTGATTCACCTGCCCTTGCCTCCCAGGCCTCTCTCCATCCCCGGCATGCCTTTGTTCCAGCCTCACCTCCAGGTGCCCTGTGTTAGAAAGAATGCTAAGGCAGCCGAGGTACTCCTGAGTCTTTCATTCTTATTATCATGGTTACTATTTTGTATTACTATTTTCCTATTAGTCTCCCCCTCAGTTGCCAGGTCTCTGGTGGCATCCTTTTCATTGTGCCATGCTCTGGCTCAAACACCTGCCATGGCTCCCAATTACCTGTGTCCTCCAGTTTAAACATCTCTTAAGGCTATTAAGACCCTCCAAAAATTGGCTCCATAAAGGTCAGGCAGCTCCCCCAACATACTCTATGCTTCTGGGAAATTTACTCAACTTTTTTGAACCTTTATTTTCTCCTCTGTAAAGTGGACACTGTAACCCCTACCTTGTAAGATTGTGTTGAGGATACAATGAAATGAAACCTATGAAGGCCAGCACAGGGCCTAGCATCTCAGTAGCGTGCAGAAAATGTGAGTTCTCATTCCATCCACATCTCCTGCCCCTCTCATCTTACCTCCCACTGGGCGGCCACATAATTCTCAACTCTACCCAGGATGGGGTCTTTGATTCTCCAGGAATACCTTTTACAGAAAAATCCCTGCCACATCCTTCAAGGTCCAACTCAAACGGACACACCCTTAATTCATGATTCATATGGGGATTGGGAGCAGT